GTAATGAGGCTTTGCACAGAAGCCGCTAGAACACTGACACCTGGCTAGGCAGGCTGAGCTGTTAAATGTCCTGTCCCAGCAGAGAACTCTGATAGAATATCCAAGCACAGCAATGCACCTTGTGGATTCAGAGCTGGATAGATCACTACGGCTCTGCCAGAATTCAGTTGATACAGAAAGACATGATCTATTTTATACCTGGACAGGTGATTTTACCCTATACTACCACGAGAAATGAAGAAAGTATCTTAAAAGGAACATTAATCTTCACCTCACAGTCACTGAGGAACCATTTTGTTTGTTTCTTTGGGAGAGCAAGGTGAAACCTATTGTCTTTTAATAAGAGCTCTATTAGCACTGATATACATAAGGGAACAAACTAAGCCTGGATGTAGGCTTTTGACTAGGCTTGGTAACATTTGTAATGATTAGGGGTTTTTTAAACAGTACATTGGAAGGAAACATGAATTTCCTCCTGTGGCTTTGGAGTGACAACCAGCTGGTCTGTTAGCAGGGGGGAGCTGTTGAAGATCTGAGGACCACTTACTGTGCAGAACTCTACAACAGAGCCAATGGAGTAACTAACACTACCAAGAGGCTGTATCGTCTCCATGGCATTTAAGTCCCCAGTGACAGTTCTTTTATAATTTCCCCTTCGCAGATGCTTGTTTAGCCAAATTCAGTATCAAGGTAAAGAAGATTTTTTTGATAAAAGCTCTACAAGATCTTCCTCTTACATAGTCTTATTACTCCCTGTTATTCTCCAAGGATACAAAAAAAATATGGTAAAGCCTCTAAAATATGTAGCTACAGCAGCCCTTGCTTCATAACTGTATGTCATACCAGGTGTCCTCCAAACATAAATATGCATGCCATTACATTATATGGTGTAGTGGTTGGATGAAAATAGCTGTCATGAAAGGAGTTCTAAATTTCCATTTTGACCATCAATGATTTAGTACAATTCAGTTAAAAATATATGTCCAAAGCCCTTAGAATCCAAACAACTTGTGGGTGTTCATTTCCAAAAACCTGAATGAAGGTTAGGCTTTTAACACGATCGGAGGAAAACATTTTCTCTTATCTTCCACTAATCTGGGACAGAAGAGATCATTTAGTATTTTTGAGTTCCAGAAGGATTCAGCTCCTGAATTTTATTGATTTATAAATGCCTACTGTAACTTGTTAGCTCACTCCCTATTCTAATAAGTCAAACAGGCTAGAAACTTCTGCAAAAAATGCCATTTCTGTCCTCTAAGTCTTGTGGATTTTTGGATCCTGATTTTTCTTCGAAACAAAAACAAAGCAGACTATAAACTAACTGACAGCAATTCCTGTAAATCAGGATGATTTCAATTACATTCCTCTTCAAGGCTGTATCCCTTACATTCCTGAGTATATTCATATATTTGGAGGTGTTTTGATAGGAACATGTTATTAATTGATAAGTGCCAGGAGAAATCTGATTTTGAAATATACATTAATTTTTAGCACAATGTACCTGGTTTATATGTGGGAAGGTCAGTGTGGCAAAATATGTGATTAAGTATCAAGATGTAAGGAAAAGCCAGCTACTAAGATGGCACCACTTGATGCAGATGAGACATCTGCCTCTTTCCTGCCATACTGCTACAAAATCCAGTGCTGTGTAGTAAAACAAAATCAGAATTTACAGAAAAACTTCTACTTCATTCTTCAAAGCTCTGAAAAAAACCCAACAGTCATATTGATGATACTTATAATGGAATATCCTAATTAAACAGATGCAGACTCAAAACATAAATGAAATCAATACTGTAAACCCAATTTGTCACAGTTAAAGCTGTCAAGATTTCCATTAAATCAGTATTAGTTCTAGACACCTCAAATCAATTACAATGAAAGTTCTGAAGTATTTCATAAGCATCCATTTATGGAAGGGCCACTATTGTGCCTATTGCAGAACCAGTGTTCTCTTCGCCTTGTCTAACTAAATGGAAGAAAAACAGGGAACTAAAAAAACAATTCTGGAGGACATACTGATGGGAAAACAGACTGATTAATGATGAAATCTTCTCTTCACCCTTCTTTCAAAATCTGTCAACTGGACTGCAACTGATATGTAGTAGTATTAAATGAAATGAAGGAAAGAAGGGAGAAGCCAAGAAAACGACTCTTGAGTCTCAGCCTCCTGGTCATGTTTTCAAATAACAAAACTGTATAGGATGCAGAAGAAAAGGCATCATTTTATACAAGTACTTCTAAAGTTTTCACCAGCATGTACTTAAAAATAACTGTATGAATCACTAAACAAGATTCTGTATAAAATAATTAAATGATAAGTATTGCTACTCATACTTTCAAGCACAGAGCATTCTACCAAATTACATTCTTTTTATATAGAAGAGAGGAAAAAAGCTTAAGTGGTAATTATTTATATGACAAGACTCCTTTGATTTGCAGTTACAGTGATATATACAAAATATCAATAACAAAGTATTATTTGTATTCAAAATTTCTATTATTTGTCTACTGAATGTACATAATTTGGTTTATTAACTTGTATTGCAACATCTCAGTTAGAAATGTGATAAACCACCCTAAAAAGATTACATATGCACCCACTATATTCTTTTCTTTCCAAACTTAGGTATAAAACTTAATTCCTCAGTTCCTTATACACACTCTTCTTGTAGAGATGAATTTTGAATGAATGGGGAATAAGATGGGTTGTGCAATATATGTATAACACACTTGAAAGAACAACCAGCAACACCAGAGATAAAACTGTTTCTTAATGCATCTGTGTATACATATGCTTCATTCAATACAAACTTTTGGTAAACAGGAATGGATGGCCATTTTCTACTTCTGTTCAAGTCCACAACAGGAATGCTCCTGAGAAAGGCAACAGCAGTCCTAATGAAAGTAACCAGTTTGTCTCAAACTCTAGTATTCTCTACTAACAAGAGAACACTTGCACAAATCAGAAGGGCTCCACAACCACTGGATCATGACTGTTCATACAGCAAACAAATCCAGAACCTTGATGCTCTAAGTACTCTTATGTTATCTCAAGTAGATGTCTATCTGTTACTCACAGTGATTCAAAGCAGGCACAAGACGACATACCGATCATTGGAAATAGACTCAGAAACATAGCAATAATTGGTTTCCTAACCATGGCAACCTAGGTGCCTCAGGAACAGCTTGTCAAGCAAATGTGCTGATAGAATTCTTTACAGCATATGGACTTAACACATTCTTCAGGTGATAAAGATGCAGAGTACCTTGACAGCATGCCTGACCTGTATTAGGAAGTTTTACCTTTGCTAAACTGTAACAGATTCTAATGCAGTCAATAACTGAATTAAATGCTCTCTGAGGAAAAACCGTAAGATCCAAAGAGTGGAAACAGAGACAAATATTCCAGCAGCAGCAAGCAGCGTTTCCAGTTAACTGAACTGGAGGTAGGATAGCAATTCTAGACGAGCTTGATAGTTTACAGTCCAGAAGCAGCCTGGAACAAAGTTTAGGGGTCCTGAGTGTACTAAAACACCTTTCAGTGGCCCTAAACATACTCACCTTGGCCCTCCACCCCTCTTGCACTGGCTCAGGAGCCCCGTTTCACCTCTGCCTTCCGTCCCTGCCTGAGCTACGTCAGAGGAGTACGGGTCTCCAGCCCAGCCAAGCTCATGCCTGGCCATGGAGTCCGTTAATCCAGATCCTGATCCATGGAGTTACTTCCTGGCTTGACCTCCCTGCCTCACCCACCATAGGGCAACCTGGCAATCACTGGACCTGAGATTGACCCAGATCTGTGGTTCGCCTTCCCAGCCTGACCTTGGTCTGCCTCATCACCGCAAACTTGCAATGATCTGGCCTATTAACTGAGCCTGGCCACCATCTCTGGGCCTGCCCTGCTGAGCCCTGGCTGGTGAGACCCTGCCCTGCCAGCCATGCTACCCAGCTCCGCTCCCAGCTCCCCAGCCATTAGGAGGAGGCACAGCTGCTCCCTGACACAGCCCCTTCCCTCCACTAATGTGTCCCACTACTTACACACCTCAACGATGTGCCTATACAACTCACTCTGAAGGTCACCCATAACCAATCGTGTATACCACATAGCACTGTAAGAGCAAACAATCACATCAAATGTTGCAGAGGCTCTGCATCCCATCCAAGTGAGAAAATACGTTCAGCCACCAAAGAGCGAGCAAATGAGCAGGTCAAATCACAAATTTCTCCAAAGATATTGAATAAGAATTTTAAAGAGAATATGTCTACATCCATGTTAAAAACCCTAATTAAGCCTTCCCATCTTGAAGTACTATGGATAAAATATTGTCAGGTTTAATCTTAATGAGCCAAAAGACACAGTGTTTTGACAGACCTAACAGACTGAATTCACCCTTAGTGAAAATATTTATTTTCTTGGATGGAGATTGAACAGCAGTGAATATAGATTTTCTAACTTTAAAATTTAACTGTTTGGGAGAACTGAAACATCAAAGAGGCCATTAGTCCTTGAGAGAGAAAAAAATTACACTCTGCAGCACCCCGTGGGTCAGGGTCAACAGTTTGGGGCACAGCTTAACAACAATCCATTCCCTCTGCAAGTTATCAGTTCAGTATGGAGTACTGAATAGTACTTCAGGCTGCAGTTTTTCAAAACCTTGAAAGCAATGGCAGTCGAGATAGCTTACCCACAGTTTCTCTGTAGCTAAAAATTATGATTGGGGGTGTCACTTTAACTTAATGAACTTCAGTGATGAATGTATTAGGAATAAACCTTAAGCGCATCTGTAGGATTACCACTATTGGGAACAAAGGCAAAGCCCTGTATTGCTACTGCCAAAACAGAACACAGACTTCTTTTTTATTTCAGCTGAAGCCTGCTTAAAGACTGGCACAAACATACATTCAGATTGTATGCTGCAAAAATCCATATTAAGTGCCTAGGAATGTATAATAAATTATTTCCATTTATCTTAGAGAAGAACTGCATTCTGGTAGGGAGGTTAAGAGCCAGGAATTTCTGAGATTCGATCCCATTTCCAGGCATGTTCTAGGGTAAGCCATTCGATGCTTCTGTCTCTACTTCCCTTTTGGGAAAATGACAATTAATGAGAAACTGAACATGTTATGAATTTTATATAATTAGTATTGAAAAAGTGCCTTTGAATGGGAAAGGCTCTAAATAAATGCCCATATTAAATACACTGAAGGTCAGTGTAATCGGAAGAAATAAAACAGCATTTTACTAATTTAATAGTATATAGATAATTCCCTTTTGGTTAATCCAATTTTCACTGGCTGATGAGAGGTCATTACTCAATCTCAGTGTTTTAGTACCAACACCAATTCCAACATTATAAGCGAAGTTCCATAACTTAACTTACATCAATAACTATCTGCAGGTTTTATGTAGGAAAATACAGCCTCTAAAACCAGGAAACAATACAGTTCTTTACAGATACTACTTAAGAGTCATCATATGCAAAGTACATAGACAAATTATTAGTGAATTACAATGAGATTGTGAAAACAAGAAAGATTTGTTGCCAATCACATACCCGCCTTTAATATAGTCAAGGAATGAAACTTCTGTTTCAATTAGGAAGGAAAGCAATGTTACCTGAAAGCAAATAAAAGAGAGTCAGATGTGAATTGTCATTTCCCAGTTGAACAAGTAGAGACATAAGCACAATGTTTTTGGAGCTCTATCCTTAAGACATAATTCCCTACAGTATTGTTATTAGGGAAAAAAGATTTTTTTTTTTAAAGAAATCATTAAATAGTCAGTTGTTGAAAGGGAAGAGACAAATTTGAAAGTCTGATACAATTTCTTGCCTTTTTTTTTTAAGCAAGAGGGTAAGGGATGGAAGATTGTATTCCAGAGCAGGTTACCACATGCATGTCTTCTGATTACTGTGCACTACATCTACACATGAATATTAGAGGCTAGATGATAATGCATCTATTCTGTGAGTACTTCAACATTGTCTGAAGAACTCAGTTACAGTTATTTATGTAATTTCAAGTGGTGTTGAGTACTGATGCAAGCCAAGACTGAAAAAACCTAGTAAATTATACATATATACGAAATAACTAAAAAAATTAAGTGGGATATATAAAAAATGCAAAGATAAGAAATTTCTTCATTCCCAGCTTTTTATCATTCAGAAATGCTGTAGGTCCAAAACACAGTGGTCTAAAGGTGTTACTGGCATTTCCAGCACTTGAGTCACAGAATTATAAACTCAAGTGGGTAAGATCTAGCATTCAGTATCCTCATATACCACACAACATTTACAAAGCAAAGAATTCAAGCCAAATTATTTTTGTTTTATTTACAAAGTGACATAAAACTCTCTCACAACATAAGTGCATCAGGCAGTCAGTGAAAACTGCTTAAGAAACTACTCAAAGCAAATTCACTGATAACGATACAAAGAACAAAAAGGGGATGAAAGTTTGTCACAAAGTTTGATTTGCCTCCAACTGCAGCAAAATATAAAAATTGAAAATATTCCTATGTTGTAAACTTGGACTGAGAATGAGATAACAGGTAGTAACTGTCTTCTATCTTACTTCCTTTGTCACACATTCTCTGTGATTCTGACTTGCAAAGTTTAAAACCATCAAATGACCCTTCTAGTTGAGAACAGAAGACCATAACAAAGTTCTACCAGACTATCAGTAGCATAGTCTTGCATGCAAGACTGAAATTCCTATGCATTTTCCCACTGGATACAGTAATTTGAATGGTTCATCTTTTATTACAGATGGTGACCTTGTTCCTATTTATTTTAAGCAAATGTTTTCAGTGAATCTAATTTAAAAAGGTAAAAAACGGAAACAGACAATACCCTTCCCAAGTGGCCAAACTTCCTTACAGACAATTACTACTAACGTTCCAAGTTTTATACAGTGAATTTTAAATTTCACTGCTTTGCTGTGTTCAAAATTAATCATGTATTCTGAAACATTTCTGCTTAGTATGTAGTTTGTCTGAATTTAAAATGACCCCTTAAGGAATAATGAATTGAGATGGCCAGTGTATGTACATAGCTCTTTAAAGTAGCAGTGAGATAGCAGTCAGTAATCTATATTAAGTAAAGTTTTCTACAAGCCAATTTCCTATTAGTGAGAATGATGGTCTTGACGTCTGCTTTGGAAATTTAGAAATCTGTGGGATAAAGAATATCTTGGGTGAATGATGGGGAAAAGCAAAACTGCAGGCAAACCCAGAGAAAGTGACAATTTGGAGAAGTATAAGGGAAGCCTAAAGGACTAGTAGAAGTAAAGGCAAATGGGGGCAGAGAGAACTTCATAAAGGAAACAATTTACAAAACCAACAGAAGAGAACACTGGTGGAGAAGGAAAAAGGACAGAGTACTGCTAACAACTGTTTATTGGAAATTTCCATGTAATTTGAGAATAACATCTCAACAATTTGACAATAACAGTTGATTTTGCCTGTCCAAATATGAGTAAAATATGTTCCTTCAAATGCAGACACATACATGTGAAGGTGTTAAATATTTAAAAGCAAAATCAACAGGAAAATTGAACACATAAATGCTTTCTTTGCTCTTCTGTACCCTAAGCCAGATTTTGTACCTACAATTTTGAGTACACTTACTTTTAGTATTGATTTGAAATAATCACTTTTCATAAGTTTCTGAGTCACTAATTCAGTGTAATAGAACTTTAACACGCTAAATTGTAGTAAAAGGAATACGTTAGCAAAAATTAGATTATCTAATGAATCGGATCTTGTAAGGTAAATTTTCATGGACAAGCTGCTCTGTCTTTTTTTTTTTACAATTTAAAGCAGAGGTACAAAATAAGTGTTTATTTTCCTACTGATAAGCAAACTTATATATGTGAGAATGACAAAATCCTTCAAGGCTACAGTTCAGAGTGAAAGCCCTACTGACTTCAGTGGCACTGTTCATGTAGAAGAAAAAACCCCACACTGGATGTGTTTTCAAAAAGCATATATCTGATTAAGTTTTCCAACACACAATTCTTCAACATTTATCTTCATTTTTTTGTAATTGATGTTTTGAACATCATGGATGCCAGAACACGGAAGCTGAGAAAGTGCTGAAGGGAATTATTTGCATAGCTAGCAAATGGTTCATAAAACAGAATATGGAATAGAACAACAGGACATTAAACTCTCATCCCAAACTACACTAACAGATCTTTCAACAAAAATTTACAAAAACCTGTTGGTAATAAAAAATGTTGACTCTTTTTGGTTTAGCTACGATAAGCATACTAGCTTTTATTGATACTAGCTCAAAAGTTAAATTTAAAAAGAAAATTGACTTTTAAAAGTGTAGATATATTTCAGATAAAAATTCATAGTGTTCAGTCAATTGTTTCAAGAATTTGACTAAAATTTTGCGAAAACTCATTTTGGAAATCACTGGCAACTTAACAGCACACTTGGACACAGCTTTTATCAGATTCTTCAAATTAAAAAAATCAGAAAACAAATGCTGTATAACAGTAAATAGTTTATTGCTGTGGCCTTCACAGAAGGTTCTATTCTAATCCTGTTAAATTACAAGTCATCTACACTCTGTTTCAAGAGAAAACCATCTAGTAATGTAAAATATATTTACTTACTGTTCCAGAATTAACATATTTTTTCTTTTTTCCTTTTTTCTTTGGATTTATTACCTAGAAAAACAGATACAAATATTAAAGCAGTATAATTTACGAATTAACATAAAGATAAGTGTTAAGACACTTCCAATGCAGAAAGTAGCCTATTTTCAGTGTATTCTAAATTTATTCAGCATTCTGTTTATTTATGCACCTCAATGCTGGGATATATACATATTTGAAAACCGGTGAATTTATCTTCATGGTATCTGCTAGGTAAGCTGGTGCTGTTATTTGCATTTGACAAATAGGGGACCAGGGCAACAGACGTGAGAGTGTTCATTAAATCTCAGTGCTCGGTGAAACAGTCCTTTGAATTTTCACAAGATTCTGCATTTTTCTGCATTCCCAATTCCAGTGTTTCAGTGTACTGTGTCACCACTGCTTCATCTCACAATGCACCTCTTCACAATCCAGTTAATCTGTTTCCATCTTCTTCTCAGTATTATCTGAGAAACATGAGAGTTGTTGTACTCCTAGTTTCTGTATTTGGTGCAATGGCAGGATCTGGCTGACATGAAGAGCAGTTGGATGGACAGATCATACTGTGCCAGAATAGAAACTAGTAAATAATTTCATGAAAATGGCACACACCAGCACCTGACTGGCATACAGGAGTTGTTGGGGCTCAATGCACTCCCTGTACACAAGAATCACCACAGAACTTTACTACAAAGCATTAAACAGTTTTCTTGAATGTCTTGAATGCACCTTGAACCTATAAAATTTCTCACTGTTACCACCAGTAAAAATTGTTTCCCTTCTGAATACCTACCCATACAAAAGCAAGTCTCAGTCAGCTTCATTACATACACATTAAAACGTACTCCTGCTTTTTTCAAAATTGCACATGGAATTGGAAGCAAAACATTATTTTGTTAATTAGGTCGATCAACTATCTCCTATATAACTAGGAAACTCAAATCCTTGTGGCTTACTGCCAAGTTTTACTGTAAGCTAGTCACAGATGTTCTGTGAATGACAAGGAATGAAAACATTCCCAACTGAAATCTTAGTCACTTAACTGCTATAAAACATTTAAACAATTTTGCCTGAAAATGGGAAAAATAGTAATACACATCTTCCAAAAATTCTCTCCCCCCAACCAAAATGAAATTACATTTAAAGATCATATTCCTTGCACGACACAGAACAGCTGTGAAATGTAAGGCAGAAAGAGATAATTATCATTTGAGGTCTTCCCAAAGAAGCTAAACAAGAGTGACTCTTTCTTTCCCTCCAGTATGCCACACTATATCCAGTAAGTACTCTTCAAAGCTTTTACTGTCTTACACACACACAAGCCCTTTAACACTTACAAACCCCCCTCAAGAAACTGTCCCTCCTACTAACAGCATCTTGACTGGTGAGCAGTGGATTAAATCTGTGTAATGGTGTTT